GTTAGCTTCCTAATCCCAACCATATTATCTCTGCTCCTAATTTGCCAAAATCTGAACGGTTTTTGTCGGCAAGTGTCACCCACAGAATTGAGTTTGAGTTATCTCAGAAAGCCATAACTTCAGATATGTTTGGTTTTTTACATGAATTCAAACCTAATTAGGATGAAGGGGCTTAGCAAGTTGCAAGTCAATTAACCTGCTTTTACCTTGCTAATACTGTATTTTAACGGTTAATTTTAAATATAAACTAATTTGAACTTATCTAATAAGTCTTTTTTTAAATTATTTATTCAATTGAGGTTATTTTTGTAATGACTATTTTTAGTTAATCTTGGTCTCAAGTTTTCAAACTAGTAGTTTGGAAACAAGCTAGTTTATATATTCTTATATTTTATTTATTTTTTATCTTTAAAATATTTGTTAAATTTCTTCATTATTTTTGACATTACATTGTTTATTTCAACCATTATACTACTTATGCTAATTGTTTTATTCATTATTATTCTTCTGTCAACCCACATTATTCCTTGCTAGTTTAGTAAATATATTTGTTTTTTTATTAATTTCGTTCTCTCATTTTAAGTTTATTATTGCCGAGGTCTAAAGGAATACGATTCCTATTATCAGTAACATTCATTATATTTATATTGTTATATAATAAAGTTCATTATATTTATATTGTCCATAATTTGATTGCTCTATTAACAACAATATAAATGTATATATAAAGAATCATTTGTTTTAAGGGAAATTAAGAATTATTTTTCTGTTCACGTATTTGAACGAGGTTATAGTGACTTATATAAAAAAATTGTGTTTTAATTTAATTATGTATATGTAAAAAAATAATAAAGTAGTTTTGTATACATTATCGATACGATTGTATTAACAATAATAAAGAATGAATTTGTTGTGAAAGAATAATTTATTTTGAGTGAAACCATTCGATCATCCTTAAACTTGTGAATAGGAAAGGTTAAAATAGTTCTGACTTGAAAGAAATAAAGTGATGTAACTGTATTTCAATATATTAGAGTTGTTAATTTATTTTGTTCTTTTATGTTCATTTTTTTATTTTATTTTATTTTAATTTATTCTTTTCTATTGTTGTTCAATGTGACAAAGGCTGCTATTCACATTATCACCTATCCTTCTCACCACAAAAGAACCAAACATGTTGAGATTGATCTTCAGTACTTAGGAGATATGAAATTGGATCTGTTATTCTATTGTTGTTCATTTCTGTTCATTTTTTAATTTATTTCCTTTTCTCTAATATATAAACCCTCTTATTGGATTTTCTGTAAAACACTTTAGTTTGGATGCATTTTTATTTTCTCTTCTTGGTTGATGCTCTGTAATACAACGTAATTATTTATTTATTAAAGACAATAAATAAAACTAAATTAGCTTTGCATGTATTGTTTCATGAAATTTTCTATTAACATTAACACGTGCTTTTTAACGTCTTAGTTTTGTGAACAATAATTTTAACTTTTACACCAACATATGAAAGTGGGAGTTAAAAATAATAATCTCAATTTTCAAAGTTTTGATGATTTCATTATTTAAATAACTAATGGACATTAGTTGCTTATTAAAAAATTATAATTTTAATTTATGTTTGAATGTCTTCTGGAAAAGAATTGACATGAATAAAGTAGACACATTTGTTAAAGGTAACAATAGTTTCATAATGAATAGTATGAAATAATCTCAACAGATTGATAAATAACATGGTTTTCTGTTTTCTTATAGATATTTTCCTATATTTCTAAGATTTTGCATGTTAACATGACATTCCTATTCTTTCGTCGAAGGAAACATTTTGGGCCAAAAAATTATTTAACACGTACCTATTCACATTTGATGAACCCTAGTATAACCCTGAAACAATGAGACAGACAAGACATTGGTGAAAGAGAAATGGGAACCTAGGAAACAATAATGAGAGAAAATCAAATGATATATATATATATATATATATATATATATATATATATATATATATATATATATATATATATATATATATCAAAATGATTTCCGGTGTCTTTACTTATATAATGAATCTAAAGACTATTTTTTATTGGTTCAGATTATTGGTTATTGATAAATATCTTTTATTATTAAAAAATAGTATATAAGGGTTTATATAAAGACACTGTGATCACAAAGACTAACTATCAAATCTCATACATTTTATTTTATTATCATATATTCATATTGATTTGTGGGTAAACCTTTCTTCCATTTCCATTCATTAAAACTATAGTAAACACTACCTTTGACTAGACCAAATCAACTCTCAACTTCCTATGTCAAAGCCTTGCTTATATCCTTAATGCAGTAAGAACATTAATAATAAAAATAATAATAATACATAGTAACTTTACAAAAAAGTATGTTCACAAGCAGATGTATAAATATAATAATCATTTTCTATCCATGTGTTTGAAATAAAGTGCCTTAGTATTATAGAAAACTATTCATATTGAATTTATATCTGAGGTCAATCTACAATATTACACATGAATAGGAAAAATTCCAAAATCAGATGATCTTATTGATATAATGTAATGTACATATTTATCATTTAATAATAATACCAGAGAACAAGTGAAAAAGTTGAGTTTTTAAAACATTACGATATTTTTTAAATCTCAATTTCTCTCAAGTTGATTTTTGTTTGGGAGAGAAAACTCGTGAATTGAATAACATAATCATTTGCTTGAGTGAGGTTTAAACCCTACTAATTCTATTTTATTCAGGAGTTTTTTTTTTTTTATCTCAAATTTATCATTTGAACAAGAAACTTCTACTACTTAGTCTCTCTCTATAAAGAGTTTAAACAAAAACATTAGTAAACTAAAAAAAATCCTGTATGATTATCAACATTTCTCAAACCATGTTTAGGATCACAATCCCATGACTAAATTCTAGTATCAATTATAACAAAATCCATATCAATCTATTATCAAATATCACTCAGTATAAAATCACAAGCTCCAAAAGCTTTCATAATTCACACTAATAATTCTAACTCATTATTTAGTAGTGTCACACAATTTCTGCAAATTTTAATATTTATGACCAAATCATTTCAATAATACATTCTAATATTTCATTTATGGTACTAATATACATTAACTAGACATCTAATCTACATTATAAGTGATAAGAAGAATCTATTATCTGCTAGCTCCTCAGATATAAACTCAAATGTTGAAAAGATGAGAGAGAGTATAATATTTTTAAACATAAATACGAGGTGTTCAAGTTTAACATAGTTTTCTTATAAAATAATATTGAATAATTTAATTTTACTATTTATAACATTTTGAATTTAATTAATAAAATATTTATTGTTTATCCATTCAAATTATTCTGTCCCTTTACATGATTGTATTTTTTTCACATGATTTTTGAGGTGATATATAATTTGACAACTTTATAAGTTAGGTTAGAATTTCAGATTAATTTCATTATGTAGCATATAGTGTTAAATTAAGTACGAAAATTATAATTCTATCCTAGAATAAGATGGATATAATTGGTTTAAAATTTTGCCACAAACAATTTTTAGTTCGCAAAATTCAATTTTAATTTATAAAACATGCATTCATATTTATGAATACTATATGAATTGCATATATTATACAATTCATAAGAATTATATATATATATATATATATATATATATATATATATATTTTGTCAATTCTAGAATTATTATCAATAAATGTTTTAACTTTTAAATATAAATTATAATTATTTTTTAAATACTAAATAATTACAAAAATATTTATTTAATAATATAAATACTATGTTAATATTTATAAGAAATATTATTCATACGTTATAAGGTTTTTTTAATTAATATTAACAATTAAATTAATATAATATATTCATTTCTATATATTACTTGTTTTTATTTCTTTTATAGTATGTTTTACAAATTTTTATGAATTCCTTTAAAATAATTTTGTCATAAAATATACAAAATATAATATTCTATTTATAATATATATAATAAATATGATATTAATTACAATATTATGTTTCTTCTCAAATCCACTTTTATATATATATATATATATATATATATAGAATATTGTACGAATTCAGCAAAAAAAAATTAAATTTAAAACTGAGTTAAAAAAATATGTTTTACCAAGAAAAATTGAAAAAATATAATTAATTAACAAAATTGAATAATATTATGATATGTATCTAAATATCCCAAAAAAATTAATATACAAGAAAATTGCAACGTTCATTTAGGTTACTCGTAATTGTTTAGTTTAGATTTCTAATTTTTTGATTTCCCTGGTTAAGATTAATTAGAGCACACATTTTTGTTGTTGTTGTTTCTACTAAATTTTAAAAGAAACACAAATGATATAAAATATGGTTTAAAATGATAATATATATATAAATAATGATTTATAATGTGGTAATAATACTATTTTAAATATTATTTTTTAAAATAGGTAGTGTGGCAATGTTAATAAATAGTAATTTATAATTTTGACAATGATTTATTTGACCGTTGCTTGAGTGTAGTCAAAAGTAAAAAAATAATGTAGAGGTAAATGTGAAGGATGGTTTAGTATTGAAGAGCAGTAAATGATAATGAGTAAAAAAAATGGTAAAAGAAAATTGAGGAAGGATTATATTAAATAATAGGATTAATTGGTGCCCATAAACACAATCTTGTAATTAATGTGCAACAATATTTTGGATAGCAGTTACGTAGTTTGACAAACGGATAAGGATTGCGAGTTTTTACTGAAAACCACGCCACGCCAGCTCTTCCGGTAACCTTGATTGTTGACTAATCTCTCTCGATCCTTACTCTTTATAAACTCACCAACTCTCTCTTTTCTTTCACACACTGTTCTCTCGCTCTTTCCTTGCCTTTCTCGTTGTCCTCTCTTTCGTAAACAGAAAGAAGAAAAAAACACAAATCTGTTGCTGAAATTTGTTGGGGCTTCACAATGGAACCCTCCTCCTCACTTCAGGTGGAGACAGCAGAGCAACGACAACCTAGTCCTCTCCGAAAAATGTTTGCTGTCGCATCCATAGCAGCAGGAGTCCAATTCGGATGGGCCCTACAACTCTCCCTCCTCACACCTTACGTTCAGACGCTGGGTGTTCCCCACGCTTGGTCTTCCTTCATTTGGCTCTGTGGCCCCATCTCTGGACTCGTTGTTCAACCCATCGTAGGATACAGCAGCGACAGATGCACCTCCCGCTTCGGTCGCCGCCGTCCATTCATCATGGCTGGGGCGCTTGCCGTCGCCATCGCCGTGTTCCTCATCGGCTATGCGGCTGATATAGGACACGCAACCGGGGATGATATAACCAAAAAGACCCGTCCACGAGCTGTAGGCATCTTCGTGATTGGGTTCTGGATCCTGGATGTTGCTAACAACATGCTCCAGGGTCCGTGCCGTGCTTTCCTGGGGGATCTCGCCGCTGGAGACCAGAAAAAGACGAGAACCGCCAACGCTTTTTTTTCGTTCTTCATGGCCATCGGAAACGTCCTCGGCTACGCCGCGGGCTCCTACAACAATCTCCACCGCATCTTCAGTTTCACAGAAACCAAGGCGTGTGATGTGTTTTGTGCCAATCTAAAAAGCTGTTTTTTCTTCTCAATAGTGCTCCTTCTTGTTCTTTGCGCCATTGTTCTCACTTCCGTCGACGATCCACAGTTCACACCTAACCACAACGAATGCGGCGACATTCAAACTGGGGCGCTGTATTCGTGTTTTGGTGAAATGAGTGCTGCGTTTAAGGGATTACAAAGGCCAATGTGGATGCTGATGCTTGTGACTGCCATTAACTGGGTGGGGTGGTTCCCTTATTTTCTGTTCGATACTGATTGGATGGGTCGTGAAGTGTACGGTGGTACGGTGGGACACCCAGAATACGATGCTGGCGTGCATGCAGGTTCGTTGGGTCTCATGCTGAATTCCGTGGTTTTGGCGTTGATGTCTTTGGCGGTGGAACCGTTGGGTCGTGTTGTTGGAGGAATTAAATGGTTATGGGGAATAGTTAACGTTATCCTCGCCGTTTGCATGGCCATGACGGTGGTTATCACAAAGGCTGCGCACCATGAACGGAGTCACAACGGCGTCCTCATTGGTCATCCTTCACTTGGTGTCAAAGTTGGGGCGCTGAGTTTCTTCTCCGTCCTCGGAATCCCTCTCGCGGTATAACCTTTTCCTTTTCCATGGATATTTAGCCAATGTTTTCATTTTCTGTCTTTTTCTTTTAACTTTTTCAGATCTGGAAAATAATTTCAACCATTGAAACATTTTTTTTATACCTTTAAGCTCAGAAACTGACTCTTTTTTTATCATATTAAGGTGATTTTGTATCTAGGATTTAATATATGTAATAAATTTTAAGATTTTGAAATTATTCTAAATGTTATAATTATTAAATGTTATTAATATTATTTAATAAAAAAATACAATTCTTTTGTGCATATATTAAGTGTTTCTTTAAATGTTGACCATTATAATCAAAGTAACTGAAAAAATTGCATTTTTTTATTTAAATTAATAACCTCCAAGCATTTATCTTTTTTTTTTCACTTGGGAGATTGAGGACAGAAGAAAAATGAGGCTAACAATTGACTTTTTTAGTAAAGTAAGAAGCATTAATATCTTTTAAGATAATATAAAATATTTTGTTATTAGTGGCAAAAGGATTCCTTAAATGGGTATTTCTTATAACATAAAAAGATTGGATATTTCAGAACGTATAATATTGTTTTTGCTGTTTAGAATATAAAATTTATTACCGTTTAAAATAATTTATTAAAACATATAATTAAGCTTAATATCAATGTGCTATAAACTAATACTTTCTATGATGTCCACGTGTACCCAGATTACTTTCAGTGTTCCATTTGCTCTGGCTTCTATATACTCCAGTACCTCAGGTGCAGGCCAAGGTAAAGAAAATCATATAATTTAGTATAATTAAATAATTATATTTAAAAATAATTATTTGTAAAAATTTACATGTTCAATTAAACTAGGCAAACTATTATACTCAGTTGTAAATCAAAATTTACATATAACATCTTTTTCATTTTCCAAAATTTTCAGGTCTATCTTTGGGTGTCCTCAATGTTGCCATTGTCGTGCCCCAGGTTTGAATCCGTTAACACTCATTCTCATACATGTCAAATAATACATTACATTGCTTCACAATTACGTCATGTAATAAGGAAAATACAATGTACCTAGTAAATTTGTATGTTATTTTTTTATGATTTTGGGAGATTTTGAATATTTTATTTATATCTTTATACTAATTTTGTTAGATTTTTGAACAAAACTTAGAAACCACATATTAAATTATTTTTCTATTTTTCAATAGTTGATATAATTAATGAAGTTTAGATAAATGATGATGAAATTTATGGTTATATGACTAATTTTGAGTACACAATACATGCATTTATACAGATGATAATATCGGCAATAAGTGGACCATGGGATTCTTGGTTTGGTGGTGGCAACTTGCCTGCGTTCGTGTTGGGTGGGGTGGCGGCCGCCGTGAGTGCGGTGTTAGCGGTTGTTTTGCTGCCAAGTCCAAAGCCAGCAGATGTGGCCAAAGCTTCTTCCGTCACCGTAGGGGGTTTCCATTAGTATATGGAATTCTAAATGTTTAGCTTTCGTACCCTTGCTTTTGATGGGAAAATAGATTAAGACTTTTTATTTAGATCTGTTTCATGTCTATTATTTAAGTGTTATTATATCCATAATAAGACTCCATGAGATATGTTTAGTAGTTCGTGAGTTTTGCTTTGCTTTTTGCCTTTCAATGTAAAAAAAGAACTTAATGATGTTATTCATTTTTGGCAACATAAAAATGTGAGAAAAGTCATATATATACACATATATGCTCCAGCTAAAGTTTGGTAAAGATTCTCGAATGTTTGATAATCTGAACCGATAATATTTTAAGGTTTAACCTCATGTGACTTCTATCCATAAAAAAAAAATTAGAAAAAAAATCCTAAATTTGAATATCTAACTTTTTTTTAATATATACATATATATAATTATTTATTAATACAATAAAAATATTTTATATAAGATAAAACAAATTGAATTTTTAGAGAAAAATAAAGTTAAAAGGGTAAAAACTCAAAAGATAAAAATTTGTAAAATAAAATGAGTATGACTTATGAAAGTCTAACCGATTAGTATATAATTACTGACAATAAGTTTTCAATTTATGTAAAATGATTAGGAATCCCTCGGTCCTCAAAGTGAGAAACTTTAAAATTATGAATTTAAATATTTAGTAATTAATTTGTATTATTTTTAGAGACAAACACATTTAACCGTGAATTTTATGAAATTTTGAAAAGTAATATTCATCAAAGTTGTAGGATTTGATGTTAATTAATTAATAAGATTGGTTTCACACACAAAAACCTATTTTATAACTTAAAATATGTTTTTTCTTAATGATTACAGGTCATATTATCACATCTAGGTAAAATTTTGCATTTTAATTTATTTTAGACTTGTAAATGATTGAACTATATTTTAAAATCAAAATATAAATTTTTTTAATTTCATCAGCTTTAAAACAAAATAAAAATCAATGTTATATAATTATCATAGTACTGGGTATCTATTTTTACCAAACAAAGTTATAAAAGTTAAAAAAAAAGTAAGTGATAATTTCACCAAAACTTTAGAGATTAAGATATAGTGGTGATTTTCTATAGATAAATTTTATTGATGTATAAATATAAGGGTATATCTCGATATATATAATAATAAATTATTTATACAAAGGGATATCATGTAAAAAAAAAAATCATGTTTTGATTTGAAGATATTTTAAGTTGTAATAACATGAATTATTGTTATTTGTATTTATGTTTTAGAGAGTTATTTATGTATTTTGAGAAGTCTAAGTTATCATTTAGTATAATAAATAAGTTTAAATAATGTAAAAGTTTAAGTTATTTTTAGTCATTTAATATATATCATTTTATGCATTTGTTATATGTACATGATTCTTTAATTTATATTTTGTAAGGGTGAATGTGACTTGTGAAAGAGAATTTTATGGTATTTTATATTGGTCTTGAGAATTTTAGAGTAATAGACATTTTGTCTTTAAGTGAACTAGAGATAATAATGACTTGTTACGGTATTGTAACAAATTCTTATTAAACTAGTTTCGGATAAAAGTGAATAGTTAGAGTCTATATAATCCAATTAGTATACTCATATACCATCTCAAATGCATTTACATTGTGTAGAACCACGTATATGTAAAGATAACAAAAATATTAATAGATTAAACAAAAAAAATATTAATAGATTAAATTAATTAAGTGAGTTTATAATTAAATATACGTTAATAAGGTTACTTTGTACATATTATTTCAACTTGATTTCTTATTTACGTGGATTGTGTTATTTGTTTGAACTGAATATATTTATAATTTAACTAATATTTTATAAAGATGATAAAGTTTAGCTATTTTTTATACGGTGCTCAAATTAAATATATGACGATAAATTAAAAATATCATACATTTATTTTAATTTTGTTTTGAGATATTTTTTAAAGTTTAAGAATTTCTACAAATTACTCTAATATTTAAAGGTATTTTATTTTAAAATCTTATTTTTATAAATTTTAGTTAAAGAAATATTATATGAAATATTTTTACCTTCTATTTTTTAAATTTGGTTATTTATTATGCCTGCATGAATACTTGACACAAGCAAAAATTTCTCTAAATATAATTTTCTTAGAAACATAATTTAATAATAATAATAATAATGTATAAAATAACTATACATAATTATTTAATTATAAACTAATTTAATAATGTATAAATAATTATAATATTTTTATTAAAAATTTATTTTGAGATAAAAGGTGCCGCATAACCCACATAGTGTGACATTGCATGCTTAACAGACAATAACAATATTAAATTACATATATATTCTGTATTTATAGAGATCGATTTTTTAATAATGTATTACTATTATTATTATTATTATTATTATTATTATTATAAATAAATAATATTAATAATTTTATATTATTAATATATTGAGTAATAATAATATATTATTTATATAAATAATAATAATAAATTATTAAAAAAATAGAAATTATATTATATTATGTGACTTCTTTATAAACTAAATATATAAAATTTATTCCATCTAATACGATTTCTATTAAAAAAATTAAACCTTAAATAGTATCATTTAACATAATTTTTTACATTAAAATCGATAACATAATTTATCAAAATCAAAATACATAATTATTTTTAAAATTTATCCATTTTAATAAGTTATGAACAAAATACAACCTGTCCTAAAAAAATATCCATATGATATATGTATATTATTATTAAACCCAAAAGTATTATTACCTAAAAAAATATATTTTTAAATATATTATTTTTAACTACGTTTATTTAATTTAATTTAATAATATTTAAAAAAATTAATTTTAATTAATATCTAACATTTAGTTTTATTGTTAGTATAAATAAAAAAGGAGAATATTAAAGATGGATAAAATTGATGTTTTATAACATAATGAAGTTGGTTTTTTTCTTATAAATGTTAATTTGAATTAGTATGATTATTATACACCACACATATAATTTCATTTGTGGGAGAGGGTGATAGGTTGTGGTTGCTGCATATTTGTGCACGTGAAGAGAGGTGGCAGAAAACAGCTTTATGAAATTCACAGGGAGAGAGAGGGGTTTGTGGTGTCTGTCATATGCAGAGTAGGTGACAGTGAGTAAAAAGAAGGAGAAAAGTGTTGCTCACTTTGTATGGCACTATATAACATTGCCTCAAATCTATTGAACTTATCTCAAATCTATTGGCTCCTATGTAATGGTCATAGACACAATCCTTATCCATTTATCAACTTGCCTTCTTTATTTTTCTACTTTTTAATTACTTTTCACTTATCAACATTAAATGTTTCACACTTTTCCACCATAAGCTCTTCTCAGTTTACAACTATTAATTCTTCCTGCAACCAAGTTTTCAACAGTTTTTAAAAACAATCACAATTTATCAAAAATATCAATTTTTTTATCTATTCAAATTCATTTTCTTATATTTCTCTATTCATTTTCAACAGTATCTATCATGATATGTTTTCAATTCCAACGTGAATTAAATCTCATAGTCTTAAAGTTTCTAAATAAAACCTGATAACATCAAATTCATCACATGCAACAAAATACCATTTATGTAAATTCAATACTCAAATCATAACTCATTCATAAGAACTCTAAAATCTTAATTAGCACAATTCTCAATACCAATAATTTATTCAAATTACCAATTTCGTTATTTCAAAAACCTAAAATAGAAACAAATTTCATAATCAAACCAAATCCAACAATCACATTTTACTGCCCTAATTATATATTGATGAATAACCAAGCGCAACCCTCTCTCACTTATTTTTTTCTTTATTTTTCAACATTATCTTATTTTTATAAAATATTTTTATTTTTGTATGCACAACACCTTAAAAAAAGCAAGTTATATATTATACGCATAACTCCTATTGACAGCATGTTTTGCTAATTTATAACATAATTCATAGATGAAATAGAAGATTGAAGGTTTTTTTTTTTTTTTTAATTTTGGTGAGTTCTTCAAAAAGTATAATCCTATTTTTTATCTTGAGGTTTTCAAATTGAGGTGGTAATTTTAATTTACCTTTTACACTTATATTTTTTTCTTCAAAGTTAAGTTTTGTTAATCTGATACTTCATTTCATATACTTTTTTAATTGAAATAATTATATACGAATTCCATTTTTAATTATCATCCTTTAACCATCTTATGATTGAAGATAGATGCATATATGTTTATAATGTTAATATTTTACAATTTTTTTCCTATTTTCCTATTTTATTTATTTTGTTACCCTCATCATATTTGATTTTATCAATCATTTTCAACCAAATTTCAATTAATCATCGATAAAATCGATGATAAAATTGATCTGATATCAATTCTATGTGTCATGTCTTTATCAATTTAGTGCCGGTTCGATTTTTTAAAATATTTAGATAATATTATTTTAATCAATTATTAAGTTACTTAATTCATTCACATAATATATGTTTTAAGATTAAGACCTCTCGAAAGTTAGGATATTAATTTATATACGCAGTGAAAACTTTAAATTCAAACATGAAGTCTATAAGCATTAAAAATATAATTATTAAATCGATATTTTATTATTATTATTATCTTTTGTTGCAACAACTTATGTTATAATATTATAATGTTTAATTAATTAACATAACATACATATTATATCATAATATTTATTTTTTAAATTATTTTAATATAAGTTATTTAATTTAGTGAGTTAATTAGATTGCTAATAAAAAATTGATTTGAATTTAATAAGTGGAAACCAGTTTGACTATTACGAGAAAATGAACCCTATTAGAGAGAACGAATATCCAATAAAAAAAAGATGATTTAATCATAAATCTAATTATACTGCATTTTGTATTTTTTGGGGTATATATATATATATATATATATATATATATATATATATATATATATTTTAAGAAAAAACTTTAATATATATAATATTTTAA